CGGCTCACTGGCAAGCCCGCCCTCCCGGGTTCATGTGCATTCCTGCCCCAGCCTTCTCCGAGTAGTCTGGGACTAACAGCCGGCGCTCACTACGCCCCGGCTCAGTGTTGCTTTGCATTTTTTAGTAGAGACGGGTTTAACACGTGTATGTTAGCTAGGATGGTCTCGATCTCCTGACCTCGTGATCCGCCCGCCTCGGCCTCCCAAAGTGCTGGGATTACAGGCGTGAGCCACCGGGCCCAGCCAGGAGCTTATCAATAATAGACAAGGCTCACTTTCAAACTCTTTCAGGAGATAAACTGGAGGGGAAGACGAACGGCAGGAGGGTGAAGAGGAAGCTGAATGACCGTGCAAACACCCCCAACTCAAATCCGGGTGGTTACCGCAGAGTGAATAACAATAGGTACGATTTCGTGGAAGGCAACGTCCTTTGAAAGGGCTCCCAGAGCTTCAAGGCCCCCTCCCCTGATGAACGAGTAAGTCAGGCAGGCCCAGCTCCACTTCACGGATGGCAAAACTGAGGTACGAGGCGGCGAGATGACTGGCCCGAGGCCTCGCTGAAAGATCGGAGGCGGAGCGGAGAACCAGAAGCACCGCTTGCCTCAGGCTGATGCTCTCATCTCGGCTCCCCCCGCCCCTACGATGCCGTAGATGGCCTCCGCCCCCCGACTCACACACACACCCTCCCCCGGGAATTGCAAGTCTCCTCGGGTTCCAAGGACGCCGTCAAACGACCAGAGGCCCCAGGCGCTCTCGCGGTGATTTGCGCAGAGCGTTGGGAGCGTGCGTGCCTCCAGTCCAACATGGCGGCGGCAGAGGCCGGCCCTGCGCTCCAGACTTCCTTCGGGGTCGGAGGCTTCTCCTCAGGGTCCTCGGGTAGGTGGGAAAACAGAGCAGCCCCGCCAGGCCTTTCTTGTCGCGGCCGCTGCTCACTGAAGGAGTCACCTACCCGACAAGACTAACGGCTGCGGCTGCGGCTGCGGCTGCGGCTGCGGCGCGGAGGCCCCACAGCCCGCGAGAACCAGGAATACGAGAGCCAGGCGGCACCGTGGCCGGAGCTGTACTGAGCAAGAAAGAAGATTTCAAAGTAATTTATTGTTATGAGATCCGTGCTTTTATCTTGTCTCAGACTCCCAATGATAGGCACATACTCTCCTCTGTACATTTAATGAAACTACTAAAATGTTTCGATTTAAATCTTCCCCCTATTTGTTTTCTGTGTATCCTACCTGTTCACGACCTTAACATTTTCAAAGAATACAGGTTACTTATTTTGTTTTTGGTGATGGTGAGTTTTCGGGGGTTTTGTTTTTTGTTTTTAATTTTGGAGACAGGTCTTTGCTCTATCGCCCAGGCTGGAATTCAATGGCGCGATGATAGCTCACTGCAGCCTCGAACTCCTGAGCTCAAGGGACCCTCTTGCTTCAGCCTCTTGAGTAGCTGGGACTACAGGCCTGCGCCATCACGCCTGGCTAATTTTTTATTTTTTGTAGAGATGAGGTGTTGCTATGTTGCCCAGTGTGGTCTCAAACTCGGGCTCAAGAGATCCACCCACTTCTGCTGCCCCAAGTGCTAGGAGTACAGGCACGAGCCACCGCGCCGGGACAGTTATTTTGTAGGGTGTTCTTTAATTTGGATGTACCTCATCTTTTATACATCTTTGGAAGGAATACCATATAATTAATGCGGTTTATCCCATCAAGAGACACACAGTGTCAATGTGTTCCATTCTTGATGATGTTAACTTTTATTACTTAGTGAAAATAATTCTAAGAGTTTTCACCACTGCAGGGTGAATAAATTAATATTTGGGATTCATCAATGAATAAGTAAAAAGAAGCCAGCTGGCGAAAGAACTGAGTTGGGAGGATGGCTTGAGCCTGGGATGTCGAGGCTGCAGTGAGCTGTGATGGCACCACTGCACTCCAGCCTGGGTGACACCACAAGACCCTGTCTCAAAAAAAATTAAATAAATAAATAGATACCCAGCACCTGATCATCTCGGGAATTTCCTGTGCCTCTTTCTTATATTGGGTCACTGGTTTCTTGGAGCTTATGTCTTTTTTTTTTTTTTTTTTCTTGGTTTAGCTTCTCATTTTTGTAAAAAGCACATTCTTATTTTGTTTACTTTGATAAAAGTGAATTTGGGATAAAAGTCTGGGATCCTTATAAGCTTGACAGTGTCTGTATTCTACCTTTTTTGGTTGATAACTAGGTTTGAAATTTTTGGTTGAATATGGCTTTCACTTAGAATTTTGAATTATATAACACTGCCTGCTAGCTAACAGTGTTTATCTTAAAATATGATTACAATTTGATTTGTGTTGTGTTACTGTTCTTTGTCTTTTAAAGCATTTAAAGACCAGGCTCAGTGACTCATGCCTGTAAATCCTAGAACTTTGGGAGTCCGAGGCAGGAGGATTGCTTGAGTTCAGGAGTTCAAAACCGGCCTGGACAACATAAGGAGACTGTTTTTATAAAAGTAAAAATAGACCGGGCGTGGTGGCTCACACCTGTAATCCCAGCACTTTGGGAGGTTGAGGTGGGCAGATCACCTGAAGTCAAGAGTTTGAGACCAGCCTGGCCAACATGGTGAAACCCCATCTCTACTAAAAATACAAAATATTAGTTGGGTGAGGTGGCATGCACCTGTAGTCCCAGCTACTCAGGAGGCTGAGGTAGGAGAATCTCTTGAACCCAGGAGCCATGGTTGCAGTTGAGCCAAGATCACGCCACTGGACTCCAGCCTGGGCGACAGAGTGAGACCCTGCCTCAATAATAGTAATAATAATAATTACAAAAACATTTAAAATTGTCTCTTCATACTAGTTTTCTGAAATTTCACAGAAATGTATTTTAGTGTGGTTCTTGTTTCTTTCATTGTACAAGGTGCTCAGTGGACCTTTGTATTAATATTTTGAAGACTCATGATCTGTTTCTAGAAACTGCCTTTTGTTTGTTCTGTGAAGTTTTCTTCCATTCATTTTTCTCTCTTTCTTTCTGAAATGCCTTTTAGTTGGATGTTGTAATTTCTCACTTCATCTGGTAGTTTTGTTATCTTTCATCACTTTTTTTCTTTTTTTTGAGATGGAGTCTCTTCTGTTGCCAGGCTGGAGTACTGTGGCGCGATCTCGGCTCACTGCAACCTCCGACTTCTTGGTTCAAGCAATTCTCCTGCCTTAGCCTCCTGAGTAGCTGGGATTATAGGCACCCGCCACCACGCCTGGCTAATTTTTGTATTTTTAGTAGAGATGGAGTTTCACCATGTTAGCCAAGTTGGTCTCAATCGCTTGACCTCGTGATCCATCTGCCTCAGCCTCCCAAAGTGCTGGGATTACAGGTGTGAGCCACTGCTCTCAGCCATGCATTGTCTCTTTTCTTATTATTTATAGCATTGTTTTGCAGCAGACTTGTTGGAGTCACACATTTGTTACTATCCAATTATTATTGTTGTTATTTGGGACAGCCTTTTGCTCTGTCCCCCAGGCTGGAGTGCAATGCTGCATTCCTAGCTCACTGCAGCCTCAACCTCCTGGGCTCAAGTGATTCTCCCACCTCAGCCTCTCAAGTAGCTAGGACCACAGGTATGTGCCACCACACCTAGCTAATTTTTTTATTTTTTATAGAGATGGGATTTCACCGTCTCCAGGTTGGTGTCAAACTCCTAGGCTCAAGCAATCTGACTGCATTAGCCTCCTAAAGTGCTGGGATTACACGTGTGAGCCACTGTACCCAGCCCAACTATCATCATATTTATTATTATTATTTGAGACGGAGTCTCACTCTGTCACCCAGGCCGGAGTGCAGTGGTATGATCTCAGCTCACTGCTTCAAGCGATTCTCCTGACTCAGGCTCCCGAGTAGCTGGGATTACAGGTGCCTGCCACCGTGCCCAGCTAATTTTTGTATTTTTAGTAGAGACGGGGTTTCACAATCTTGGCCAGGCTGGTGTTGAACTCCTGACCTTGTGATCCACCCGCCTCGGCTTCCCAACGTGCTGGGATTACAGGTGTGAGCCACCGCTCCTGGCCACTATCTTATTATTAAATAATGTTACATGCAGTGTCTTTGGGGAGAGAATTCAGTTTTTCGGAGACAGACTGCTCATTTCCTGATTTGTTCATTTTAATTCAAATAGTAAAAGCTTTAGAAAGGCAAGAGGATTGCTTGACTCCAGGAGTTCAAGACCAGCCTGGGTAACAAAGCAAGACCCCATCTCTACAAAAAATATTTTTAAAATTAGCCAGGCCTTGTAGTATGTGCCTTTAGTCTCGGCTACTGGGAAAGCTGAGTTGCGGGGATCTCTTGGGGCCAGGAGTTGAAGGCCACGGTGAGCTGTGATTGCACCACTTCACTCCATCCTGTGTAACAGAGTGAGACTCTGCCTCAATCAATCAGTAAAGATACTTATCAAAAGTAAGTAGACATGCAGGCAGATCACCTGAGGTCAGGAGTTCAAGACCATCCTGTCCAGCATAGTGAAACCCTGCCTCTACTAAAAATACAAAAATTAGCTGGGCGTGGTTGTGGCCGCCTGTAATCTCAGCTGCTCGGGAGTCTGGGGCAGGAGAATCACTTGAACCTGGAAGACAGAGGTTGCAGTGAGCTGAGAGCGTGCCACTGCACTCTAGCCCGGGTGACAGAGCAAAACTCCATCTCAAAAAGAAAAGTAAGCAGACATGCCTGCTGCCTACATGAGGTTTACATTCTAGTCTGGGAGAAAAAAAAAGATTTTAAAGTAAAAGAGAAAATGAGATAATTTTATATTGTGATCAATACTGTGAAATAAATCAATAGGTGGTATAAGCAGTAACTTGAGGGATACTTCCCGTAGCATTGGTAGGACAGATGTTGAGCTTTGGTCAGCAGTGTGGAAGGGTATTCCAAGCAGAGGCACAGTTACACTAAAGACCCTGAAAAATCAGAGAGCACTTAGAGCATTCCAGAAACAGAAAGCAGCCTGGTGTGACTGAAGCTTAGCAAGTGAGTAGAAAATTAGTTTAGATTTAGGATGTAGAAGTCAGCATTTTCCATATCATATGAGGAAATGATAGTGCTGAGATTACAGGTGTGAGCCACTGCACCCAGTCCCACACCAAGTTTTTACAGCGGCAAGAATAGATGTTCTGCTACGGTCAGTGTCTAAGTATTTTACAAACAATATCTCTTCTTCTAGTTTGCAGTCATTATTGAAATAACAAACATGTCCTATTGTCAGGCCTTACTGTCAGTAACTGGTTTCATTAATCTGAGTAGGAAACTTACTTGATTTATCAGCTACTCTTTGGTATTACCTGACATCTCATTAATGCATCTTTGAATTGAATTATTGCTCAGTAGGAGTGATCATTAAATAGTGGCAATGTGATACATCACTACTGAAGTTATGGTCTCAAATGTGGGTCCTGTGTCAGTTTCAGCAACTATATAAGCACTACAGGGTTTTACAATGATTTCTGCAATTTTTTTTTTTTTTTTTTTTTCTGAGACAGTCTTGCTCTTTCAGTCAGGCTGGAGTGCAGTGGCATGATCTCAGCTCACTGCAACCTCCATCTCCCGGGTTGAAGTGATTCTCCTTGCCTCAGCCTCCAGAGTAGCTGGGATTACAGATGTGTGCCACCATGCCTGGCTGATTTTTGTATTTTTAGTAGAGATGGGGTTTCCGCATGTTGGCCAGGCTGGTCTTGAACTCCTGACCTCAGGTGACCTGCCTGCCTCAGCCTCCCAGCCGATTTCTGCAATTTTATAAGGCAATAATTTCATCATAATTTGTTTGCTTATCCTTTTTTTTTTTTTTTTTCTGAGACCGAGTGTCACTCTATCATCTAGGCTGGAGTGTGGTGCTGCAGTCTCGGCTCACTGCAACCTCCGCCTCTCAGGTTCAAGTGAGTCTTCTGCCTCAGCCTCCCGAGTACCTGGAATTACAGGTGCACACACCATGCCCAGCTAGTTTTTGTGTTTTTAGTAGAAACAAAGTTTCACCATATTGCCCAGGCTGGTCTCCAACTCCTGGGCTCAAGGGATCCACCCACCTCAGCCTCCCAAAGTGCTGGGATTAAAGGTGTGAGCCACCTCACCTGGCCACTT